AACTACCAAGATACAACAACTCTGCCCTTGAGAGCGTTACCTCTCCACCTTCTAAACAGCCCTGGGGCTGGCAATTAAAGAACTGGACATTGAACGCCAAATCCCTAGACAAAAACTTGGGTATTTGCTATATGTCTGACTGATACCTGTGTGAATGCAGGAATCCTTGATGTCAAGAGCTGCACAATGGTCTCTTCGAGGCAGGGGATTAAGTTCTCAAGCTTCCTGAATTGAAGAGCTTTGATGAATTTCTTCTGTTCTTTTTAGTGTTTAGGATTAGGTAAAATTAGTCCTTTATTTGGAATCAAGAAGTGTTTCTTACAACTCTCCTAGCTCCTAGAAAAGGGCATTAAGTCTGCCTCCCTCCTCCAAAGCACATTGACCATCTTGTGCAAAGAAGCCTCATGAAAAGATTTCCAGTGGAGGAGAGGGAAAAAAAAATAAGAGGCTGATCTGATCAGAAACTCCCTGGAGGAGCCCTGAAGCGCAGCCACAGCCCAGTTACCCGTACAAGGCTGACCTAGGCCAGGGATTAGCCAGCCACCTCCGTCTTCTAATGCTACTGCTGCAGTCAACATGGCACCGCACGGGTGCTCTTCATACGAGGCTCTGCCATACCCATTGCTGCTCAAAAACCCTACGGAAATTTCTACAAATTGTTCAAACCTGTGTTCAGAGTCTAATTTACGTATACCTGGAAGGTGCAGATGCTCTTGATCTTGAGTGAGCTACGTGACGTAACGCCAACCTTTGCTGAACTGCACAAGACAAGGGTTGGAAAAGGCCACGGAAAAGGGTGGGATCAGTAGGTCACTGGACTCCAGCTCGTCAGTTCAGTGTCACCTTGAGTCTGCAGGCCGGTGCTGCAAATAGACTCTGGAGCTTGTAGGGCTCATCCCAACCCCTTGTGTAGGCAGAACAGAAGGGCTGTGGGAGCCTTCGGGGCACACGTGGATGTTGAGAAAGCCTGTCCCAGGGTCAGTTATTCTGAGGGGATTTCCAGCAAGCATTCAGTAGACTGTATGAATCGAGGGAGTTTGAAGAGACTCCAGCAGCTTTTACTGTTTCAGAAATTTATTTCATCAGCATTTTCCCAAGAAGGCATCAAGGGGAATGCTTTCTTATCTGTCCATGCGATCCTGTGGTGAAGCCTGATGTGCAAGCCCAAGACTACATAAAAGAAATGGCTCAGTTAACCATAGCATGGTGCAAGAATTTGCCACATCAAATGGCACTTAAAGAGCATGATTTCCTATGATCCCTTGCTGTTTGTTTCAAGTTTTTTGAAAAGGAGCCATGGTAGGTGTCATGAGCTCAAAAGTCTTCCCTATTTTGTAACCAGCAATATCCCAAACAACACAAGGAATGTGTCCTTCTGGCAAGTGTGTTTATCCTCACTCCTTCCCTTTGTATTGGGCCAAACTGTATGATCTTAGCGTGTTCAAACTTCCCAGAATTGCAGAAAAGCTGAACAACATTTGCAAATCTTGTGCTGAGACTAAATACATTTTGTCCCACTCTAATGAAACTAATAAAAAGAAGGGAGGCGGATATTCTTGGATAAAGCCTGCTGCGTGGCTAATGATAACCAGTCCTTTCTTTTTTCCCTGTAGGCTATTAAAAAAAGAGGAGAGATGATCTAGTTGGTATCACAATGTTTACAGCTTTTCTGCTGAGCAGCTCTGAGAGCAGAGTCCCCATCCATCAGTGCTGTCCCTTTGGCAAACTTCTTTATGGATATGTCACTATCCTTAAATCTCTATGCACCAGTATTCCCAACACCTGACTACAGCACAGAATCTCAGCAATTCGGAGGAAAATATTTTTGGAGAGGTGCCAGAACGAGAGGTTGGAAACAACAACAACAAAAAAACCACCAGCTCTACTACTGGGATCAGCTCTGAAGTTGCACAGTTGCACCACAACAGTGACTGAAGGACACCATCGAAGCACCTGAGCACTTTGTCCAAGGTGCCAAAAGGATCACAAGAAACTTAGAATGCAGATTGGAGGTGGCTTGAAATTGTTCCAGTGACATCACATAGTCAAGAAGCTTAGTCAAGAAGCATCCACAGATTTTTTTGTAACAAGACTCAGCAACTTTGTCCCAGGATGGATGGTTGACAGACTGTGACCGAGACAGCCAGAAGAAGAAAAGTGACTGGAAACGGATACATCTTCTTTTGGGGATGAAGAGGCACTGAAGAGGGTTCCTGTTTATAACAGCATTAATCAAGCTTTAGCACTTTTTCGTTGGTTCCAAAGGACAAAAGTATTTCAGGAATAAACTTTGCACAGCGAACAGCTGGCTACAACTGCTGACACGGAGGATGTAGAAGGAACAAACCCAGTAGTGTCTGAAGGCCCCTCCCAGTACCAAGGAAGAGTCTTTACAGCACAAAGCTCAGGAAACTTATTGGTACCATTTAATCTGTTTTCCCCCTTTCCTCACCAGACAGAAGCCTCTTTTCCCTTTCTCCTGCTATTGTTAGACTGAACTTTGGCAGAGGAAATACCTGGAATTAGACGGGAGCTCTGAGTGGCTGTGGACACGTCTTCATTGATGTGGTGCAAGGCCTGCTCTGGAGGGGACCAAGGACTCTTGGCTGATGAAAGTGATGACAAGAGGGGCTGGTGATGCAAAATGGGCCCAGATGGTGCCAACTGAGTCACTAATTGGCACGGAATCTCTCCCAGAGGATGATGCTGAGGGCAATACCAAAGCCAAACATAGGGTTTGAATCTCAGACTTTTAGTCAATGAAGGCTTTGCTGCCAAAGCCACTGCCCTAAACCTGTATTTGTTAGTCTGAATACTCAGAGCAGTGTTCAGCCTCGCAAACCTCATTGACAAGTCCACAGCCCTAATTGCTGTATTTTGCCATACTGAGTGCAAACACCTATCCCAGGGGGAGGATGAGCTCAGCCACCAAATAAAGGCTCCAGAGAGATGGAGTATTTTCTGCCCTCCTGGGTTTCCCTGCAAATGACCAATGCTGCATTACAATGTCTGTGCAAAGACAAAGAAATTAAATCTAACTGTTGTAAAAAAATCTGTGGAGGATCAATGGATTTTCTCACGCTCTACACTACGGAAGAGGACCTCCAGGCCTCCCTCACTGACCTACATGTGTCAGTCAACAGGAGGTTCTTCCCAAGCCAAAATTAACATATAGAAGACCCGTGAGCTCAATGGTATGAAATGCAAACCTTACAGACAGGTTCAGAAAGGTTGTTGTCTCCAAAACGAACACACACAACTGCATATGAAAAGCAACTATGTTGTGTTAAGGTACCTTCAGAGTCTGGAACTCAATTTCTTGCTTGGGCTTGTGCAAGTACAGTCTCTGCAGCAAAAAGACTTCATTTGAAATAGAAACATCTCTGTGCATCAGAATAACATTAAGTCACAGTCTTAAATCTGTCAAATAAAATTTACAAGGCTTTTCTTGTTTCATTTTGTGTGGGTATTATGCCGATCACAGAACAAGTGATAAAAGGGTACTATCAGATTAAAAATAATGTATTTTTCTAAAAATTGTCATAGCTGTTATAACTAACACCTGGAGTTCTCAGAACTACAGTGTTAAAACAATCCAATTTGCATTATGCCTTTGATGATATTTGCTTAGTTGTGCTCCTTTCCAGTTGAACCGTATGAAAAGATTGGTATTTTCCCTTTCAATATTTGCAATCATTCGTATGTAAAGTATTCCCTCATTTGAGCTGTGCTCACTGGTGACTGAAGTCAAGCTGAGCTATAAGGATTTTTAAAAAACAACCTCACTGGAGTAAAAAAAAAAAAAATAGGGAAAGGAAGCATTTCTTTGCAGCTTAATTATGTGTATTTAAAGCTCCAGTAGAGCTGATAATGTTGTTTAAAACTTCTCTCTACTAAGGAAGTTACAAATATAGCCTGAATTGCTGTAATAGAAGGAACTCCAGAACAGCTCATACTTTCCTTCTTAGCCTGAACTTTAGTGTTGACAACACAGGGTGTTCTGACCATCTAGAGGTTTTCCCCTATGACTCCATGAATTGCTCTAAAAAAAACTGTAACATGGGATACAGACAAAAGCATTTCAGCTTTAACCTTCATCTTCTGTGTGTTTATATTTCTAACTCACTCACGGCGAACACTTTTTTTACTTAAACGTACTAACTCTTATGCGAAGATGACCGAAAGCAAGTTGGAGTAATTGTAGGTACACGGGATTGAACTGATGCAGGTTATTCAAGAACACCCCTCTTCAAACTACACCACAAGGAATCCTTTAGCTGAGGATCTCAGGATTTTATAAACTCACATCCACCCACAGGAAGTGCCCCTGCCATTTACAATGAAGTGGCATTACCACCATCTTCATATATAAATAAAGGGATGCAGAAGAGATCAATTACCTACCCAATGTGTGCAACAGCACTGCCAGCAACCTGGTGCCCACCTCCCTCCTCATAACCAACAGACTTGGTTGCCCCTCCACAGCAGTGATTACAGAAAGCTATGCTCATAGCATTAAGAACACAGAATAACCTACCTACCTACCTTCAAAGAAGTCCTACAGAATTAAAATCTGCCTAAGTATTTATGTTCTGTTCCATGCCCAGGGGGCTCTTCCCTCTCCAAATACATATGAGCTTTCTATGACATCCAATCCCCACTCCCAAGAGTCTGTGGTTAAAATAAACTGTGCAATTTTAAAATACACTGCTCGTAACCAATGGGTCTCCCGAAGCTGGCTGCTTCTGTCTTCAGCACTAACTTTCTTTCGCCTAGCTGGAGAATACTACTTCAGTGGTAAGACGTTGTTGAGACCATTACTGAGATTGCATTTGGATAATTGTAATGTGAGCCAAATACTAAGAAAAAAATAAATTAATTACAAACTCCAAAGCCCATAATGGCAACAACACGAGGATTCCACAGCCAGTAGGCTGATCAGTACTTAGACAGATATTTATCAATATGACCATAAAAAGCTTGTTTAAGAAATTGCCTACCTGTAAGGAGAATAGGGGTCAAAGCACGTCTTGGTGACTTCTGTTATCTCTGGGTTACAGCATTCCCCACCATCGAAGTTGTATCTCTCATAATTACAATCCATGTCGCACACACCATTCTGCTTCTTCTTGTTGAAAAGCGTGTGGCGCACGTGTCGGCAGTCTCCGCCGTCATACCCAGTCAAGGTGTGGTTGCACTCAGGATCACAGTTCTCGTCCCCGATTTTGCTGATATCACAGTTGGCCAGGATGAGGCGGTGGCGAAGGGAAGAGTTCTTCACCTCCAGCACCTCCAGCTCCCAGGTGATGTTGTAGCGGCTGAAAGCCTCATTTAAATGCTGATGCTGGAACTCAATCTGCTGCCGGCTGACAGTGGGGTTCTGGTGCTTGTCGTCATAGAGATTTACCACACGATAGCGAACGATTTTGTTGCGGCGGAAGCTGGGGAGCTTGTTGTAACTGGCAATCACGTCTGTGTTGTCACAGACCGTCTGTCCGCAGAGAGGAGGGTCTAGGCTGGTATCCAGCAAATAGCCATGATGATAGCTGAACTTGCTCTGAGGACTGCTGCCATCCTTCATGGGAGACCAGGTGTTTTTCACATTCAGTAAACTGTCTTGAAGAACTAGCTGAGGTAGAGGCGTGTCTTGTCTGTGAATTGCCTGGCCCATGTCCAACAAGATTTCCTTCTGAGACCGGGCTGTCTTCCAGAGGCTGAAGTGCTCTATGTAACCCCGATAGTTCTGGTTCAGGGCATTTCCTCCAACCATAAGCACCTTGCACTTCAAGGTCAGAAGACTGAAGATGCTGCCCACTTGCTCTCCACTCGTGGCCACCTGGGCACCGTTCACATAGAGTTTCATCAGGTGCCCATCATACGTGGCAGCCAGATGCACCCACTGGTTGGGGAGGTAGCTGCGATGTGCTGCAATGGTGGTTACTTTGCGAGCACGGTCCGTCTTCAGAGAGAAGAAATAGCGGGGGTCTCTATTCCCCTGGTCACTGACGGTGTTAATCCCCAGGACCCATCCTCGGTCACGGGAGGTGTAAGAACATTTGTCATACAGTCCTATGTGCCCCCAAAAAAGAAATAGGAATAAATAAGGATGACAAAATACAGAAATTAGTCTTTAAATTGTATGTCTCTGTATATGCCTATACACACATTCACCAACATGTGTTAAAAAGTTAGCATATAAGAAAGACATTAAATCACTGAGCGCATGATTGTGGGAAGTCATGTTAAGAGTTGCTATTGAAGGTCAAGATTTGCTAGTGGTGTGTACAAGTGGGACTCCCCTTCCCTGACCAAAACTCTCTTGAAAATTCCTATAAGCAAAATGTTATACCGTGCGTTTGATTCTTACTTTCGCTCAAGCCATACATCATCGGTTGAAATAAGAACAGAGTTGAGAAGCAATCTTTGTTGATCTCACTCATACTTCATATCCCTGAACCTGGCATCTAATAAGGTCGAGAGGAGAAATAAATACAAAATCTAAGTACTGCACAGCTTGAGAAACACCGAGCAGCTGCAATAATCTTGATAGGTTCAAGCACCCAAACCCTACAGAGAGTGAACGGGATGTGTTCAGGCTACTTTCAAATTTATACCAAATAAAACCAGTGAGGAAATGGCATGCATTGGTATGCTGGATGGGCTGAACAAGGTATATACCACACCAGGAAAGGGCAAGAAAAATACATGGCTGGACACTACATCCAGAACGATTCCTGCCCCCTCACACACACTAACAATTCAGAGCACCACAGGGAACATACACTAATGATTTCTCTCATGGAAAAAGTGTGGATCCACACCTAAAGCTCCCTCAAGCAGTGTTCAGACAGCTCCAGGCAGTGGGAAGCGCCCACTCTTCCTCAGTTCAGGGCACGAGGTTTGGCAGGTTAAAGACAGACATTTCCAGTTTTCAGTTCTCAAAGGCCAAGGGCTGCAGGGACACCCCCCAACTGAAAATATAATCGTTAGAGCCTTCAGCACCAAACGGCCTTTCTACTATCGGCATGGAGAAAACAATCCTTCCCCCAAGCCTCCACTTCCAAAAGCCTAAACGAAAATCATAAATCTCTGACAGTTGAGTCCTCATGAAAAGACTAAATATCCCCTTACCTCACCCCTGTACCCTAACCCTCCCAGCACTACAACCAAATAACATCTTCTGCTTCTGACTAAGTTGCTCAACAGCCATCTGTTAACAATCACTCATTAACAGTGCGGTCTTGTCTAGTATCAACAGAGCAAAGGTTACAGGAGCATTCACTGTATTTTTCCTCCTCACTCCCAGCACCCACCTTCCCCCCTCTCCTCACACCCTTCTCCTCTCCTCCTCCCCCTGTAAAAAAAAAAGTCTTCTGATGGGAAAGTTAAAAAAAATTCAACAGGCCTTTTTTCTGCACGCTGGTATTTTGCTAGGGACTCTGAGCTCCCCCTTTTCCTGTTTCCTTTGGAAGAGAGATCCCAGGGTTCGGAAGGTAATGTGTTTATTCATCTGTAGGGCGCACTCAGTTCAAAACCTTTGCGAGACCAGCTTCTAGTTTATACTGCTACTTCTGATCACAAGAAAGGAGACGAGGAGAACCAGGGAAGGAAAAAACAAACATGCTAAAAAAAAAAAAAAAAAAAAAAAAAAAATTTATTGGGATGGTAATTTCCCAAAACAATTAAAGATGGATATTTACCCAAGCAATTCATGATATGAAAGCCAAAGCTACCAATGATCTTCTGGAGTTAGTTTTTTAAGTGCTTTTTAATTTTTCTTTATGGAATAAATACTTTTACAAAACATTCATTTTCAGATATATAAGAGCCCAGAAATGTCTGCATTTTTATGAATCTCAAATGAAGGTATTGTCCAACAACAGTGGGTGGATAACACTGCAATGAATGAGAAGACAGCTGGCAGTACAAGTCTTTCTTCCAAGTAAGTCACAAAAAAATAAGTCATAAAAATCTCGACTTATTGTAATAAGGCCACTAAAGCTGGTCGGACATTTTCCAAAAGAGTTTTTGCCTCCCAAGAAATGCCAACATGGTGAGAGCAGAAGTGGTGCAGAAATGGGCTAATCCCAACAATTCTCTCCGAGAAGCTGCGGGTCTCCAACATGCCCAGGGTCTCCCTCATCTGTTTTGACTGCAAGCACAGAAGGTCCACCCATCCCAGCCATGCTCTCCATCATCTTCTGCCACCTTTGCCGCTCAGTGACAGAATTCCCCAGGTCTGCAGACCACAGGGCAGCTGCACACGCAGTAGCTGCTCCACCTGTTTCTTAAGGCATCTGAGATCCCTGCTGTTGGATGGACGGCTGGAAGTCCTGGAACAGGCTTCTGGGGTCTCCAGCCCTGGGGAAGTCCACCACATAGTCTTCAAGGGTCAAGGTTTTTGGCTTTTTGTACTGACCAGGGCTGGAAATATTCCCCCAAAGAGCTAATAAATTATTGTGGACTGGAAATTCAGTTTCCTAGCCAGCATTAAAGAACATCTTCCTCTCTCTCTGAAGTGCTGCATGATGCTAGTGATTGACCTCAGCTGAACAGATGGAGCTGCTGGAGGAATACTACAGAATAGTAGCAATCCTCCCTTGCCTTTGAGCATTTAAACCCTGATGGGATGCAACGTGTCTTGAGTTTGGCTCAAACAGCTGCCATCAATTCAAGATTTACAGGGAGCCAAAGAAGGGCAGAAAAAGAAAAAAAAAAAAAAAAACACCAGTGACAATAGGGACACCACTGAACATGCCAGTATGAAAGCTGCTGAACTAAAACAGTCTACTATTCCAGTTCCTTACATTTTCTAGTTTATGGCAAAGGTCAGTACTGAAGCCGTGTGCCACGTACAGTATTTTCTCAAACTTTTACTATTACAGACATCCAACTCTTGATGAAAAGATGGATTGAACACAATCCCTTCAGCAGCAAGACTTGTTTTATTCTTAAGAGAAATGAAAAAGAGTGAGAAAAGGGATAAGAAACCCACACTCCCTATAACTTGCAAGTCGTACCAGTTCTTTATGACCTTCTTTTGCTTGTATGCTGTACCTACTTTCCCAATCTTTCACTTACTTTTGGCTTTAGACTAAGAATCCTCCGCCTAAGGGAGTGTCACTTTTCCATTTTGTCCCCAGCACAATGAAACTAATTTCAGCTGGGACTCTGGATGTCATAATAAAAGAATTTATTACTTCTTCTATGACAACTAATAAGGGCAAAGCCATTGGAAGAGGGACATGTGAAATAATTGCCAGAACTTCTGAAAACCGAATAATTTGATATTTTCACAATTTATTTCAATTTAGTAAAAGGTTCCATAGCCATGAGTTATTTCTTAGACATAATTAAGAACATTTTAAACAAGAAGAGGCCTCTTTTACCCCAAACAAGGCTGGTTTTGAGCAAAATCACCCCTCACAATGGTTGACACTCCGAATTTACAAATTCAGCTGTGACCACAACCAATACTTACATGAAAAACATACAGAGTTTAGATTCTCATTTACACTGAGAATTCTTTACAATAATGTGGTAAAGGACATTTTTAGCTACTTGATATCCCTTTACAAACCAAGAGCGGTGTAAAGAGGCCTCATGGTAAATGAGACCCAAGCCAATGACTGCAAAACCACAATTTGGCGACTATGCCTGAAGTTTCTGAGCCAAGAAATGGTGCGAAATAAAACTGATGTTTGTTTTCCCCACAGCAATTAGATTAAAAAAATATGTACAAGTTTCACACAGCAGCAAACAGTTTTCCTCACTTCTGCTTGCCCTGAGTTGCTAGAAAGGGATGGAGCTACAGCTGAGGAGAATAGACAGCCCTTCGAACGCCTTAGTCTGAATGATTTTTTTTTCCCTGTAAACTCCTGTTCCTGAAACCCAAGGGATTAAACCAGAATTTTATCTTTTATTAAAAAAAAAAAAAAAAAAGAAAAAAAAAGAGGTGATAACTCAGCTTTCCACTGAGAGTCATGGGTAACCTTCCTTCCCCACAAAGAAGTGAGTCACTTTTCAGACAGCTCTGGAGAAGTGCATGAACAGAGGAAGATGCCACGTTCCTTGGCCAGAGACAGACTTTGATGGCTCATGAGGCTCCTTCCAGTCCCGTGATGTTTGTCCCTTGTAGGAAAAGTCAATTCCTAGGCATCAAAAGAGTGGAAAAAGCTGGAAAATTAAACTCCAAAGGCCCAATGCCAAAAGGCAAACACGGAAAAATCAGAAATATAGTCTCTCCCTTTTTTTACAAGTGAAATCTCAGTTCTCTCACTACCGACCCACAAGTGCTCCAGCATACAACTGTCCATCCAGCCTCTTCCAGGAGGCCCTAACCAAGGCCAGCGTACAATTTATATCCCAGTTTGTTTTCAGGACTTCACTGGGGACTTAAATACAACCCCATCCTTGCGTGGGCCCTGCGAGCTGGACAGGATTTGGCAGCACAAGCACAAGCTGATGCTCCATGAGTGCATCAGCTACTGAACTTCTGGAAGAAAGTCCTGGATGAGGACACGAGGTATTGCTGAAACCAAGCTCAGGGTGCTGAGATTGGAGCAGATGTTTATCAGCAGCAGCCGCCACAGAGAAACGGGAACTCACAGCTAGAGGCTGTAGCTGCTGGAGTCGTCAGTAGCTCTCTTTGTGGGCAGAGTTGGAAAGAAGAGAGGCCGAAGTAGCTGCTGTAATCCACTTTAATATTATCAATAACAGACTCCAGGTCTCCCTCCCTCACTTCAATGCAGTTTCTTGTGTCTTGCTAAGAGCAATCTTCCCGGTAATCAGCCCAGCCATAGAATTACCTAAGAAATTAATTCTTTATGCAGAAAAAGTTTCCCCACTTTGCTTTGCTGAGCAACGAGAAGAGGGGAGAAGAAAAAAAAAAAAAAAAAAAAAAAAAGACTTGTTATGCTTTTCTTTCCAGGAGCCGAGAGGCTGGGAGAAGGGGAAGGAGGAGGCGGGTTTGACTTTGCACACATCAGGTGTGCTGCGGAGCCCGTCACAGCCATGCAAGGCAGAACGGAAAACAGTGCCCTGCACTTCTGAAAGTTGGCCGAGCCTGTTTTGCTGGGAGACTCCAACCAGAGGTGACAGGACTCAGTTATGAAAGGGGAATTTAGGT